GTAATGATAAAATTCATCCACTTGGTGAATGCAACATCCAATACTTTAACGCACTAATCTGTATTTTAACTTGAATTTTACTCTATTCATTGTATTAATATATCATATATTATAAGTTGATATTTAAATAAATCATATAACAACTTTTTATGCGTATTTATTTCACGTCAAACTTTCGGGTTAAGTCAAAATGATCCCAAAACTGTTCTAAAGAATGATTTGTTATTAGTAATAAATATAATACAATAAAATTTTATTATGCTATAATATTCATCCAGAACTTTCTATATGTTGCATTGGGAATCAAAATTTTATCAGAGATGAAGAACAGCATCTTCTCTCCGTGATGCAAAAGTAAACAAGCTCGCAAACCTTGCATGAGAACAACACCTGTTACCCCCGCACTCTCGGGAGCCGTGTAGGTGCATTATCAATGATTTTAAAAGAACCTTGTTTTTTTTATGGATCTGAGTGATTAAATAGAATTTATTTCTCCTTTATTCTTTGTCCGTACTATCCTTCAAAACAAATCTTATAACATTTCACACCATGTTGTTTTTAAAGCCTGTCTGTATTGGGGCATTAATATCAAAATGTGGTTTCATGACTTCTAAATATCTGCAGTATGACCAGTGTAAAAATAGGTGGTTTATTAAAATATTCCAATGCTAAACATTTACACATAAGTTATAAAACTAATTAAACCATATAATGTAACGGTAATTACTCTTGTTGTCTGTCTATGGTTGGATTAATTTGGCACTCTTGTGCTTAATGTCGTGTTGTGACTAGATGTTTGAAACCAGATTTTCATTTAAATATAGGTGCGGTCAAAGATTTTGGGTAATATATACAAACCCAAATAGATAAATAAATTTTATAAATAAATTAAGTGTGTAAAGATAAAGTTTAGTTAATATTAGAGCTATAATGATAGCGCACACCTAGGTTTGGTTGCTGATTGACCATTTCTTTTTAGGAGTTTGTATTACTCGCAGTGGCTGCCAGTATCTTTCGAATGGGCCATATACAAAGTTTACATGAATTTTGGCGCAAACTTTTGGTCATCAACTCTATTTGGATGCTGCGGAATATATAAAGCTAGACACCTGCCATCTTAATCTTTCAAAAAATTAAATGAAAAACATACCGGTAAGGTTATTCTAATTGATGAATTCGATAAAATATTTACCAACATGTTTAGAAGGCTTATATGACATTCAAAGAAGGAAGAGCGATTACGCCATCTGGTAACAATTCAATTAAGTTGCTGTCACGGGATTAATCGATATAGATTAGATTATACTGAATATCTGGTTCAGGGTTAATAGAATACGAACACCCGCTTTTTTATTTAGTTACGTGAATAGGAAAGTATATATTTTCTTTATTTCGAATTTATCTTGAGCTAAGCTTGAATTTCTCTCGTTTCTCAATATACAATCACTATATATATTAATTATTTCCACCTATATTATCTAATTATTACATTTGTGTTACCCTTTTATTACTAACATTTCGACCATAACAAGGTTCGCGTTTCGCATGATGCAGTTTCTAGAGCGCCAGTAGTCAAGACCTAAACTATCTAAATCTGATTGGTCCATTTGATCAAACTGACCAATCAGATTCTTTATCTAGTTTATTGAGAGAACGGATATTAAAAAACATTGATCTAATATGAGCTTTGACTAGAGTTGGGCACCGAAACCCGAAATCTCTCCGAAACCTTAAAATTAGAATGTTAATAACTAATGCACATTTACTGTAAAGTAACCAAAATATTTCTGAAATGCAATCTAATTATCATGTACTTTATGTCTTAAAGTCTAAAATTAAAATTCTAACCCTTTTAGTATAGTATAAAGTTTCGGAAAAGGTTTCGGGTTTCGGAAAGGGTTTTGGGATTTTATATATAGTTTCGGGTTTCGTTACCCAACTCTAGCTTTGACCAATCAAATCGATCAAAGAAACTCAAGAAACAATCAATTTTATTATTAAAGTGATTCGAGTCCACAGGAATCTACTCGATACCACTCTAAAATAGTGCGCAGGTTAAGAGCTATTGCACGAAGATCATGATTTATAAACTTTGGAGAGATGTTAATAAAAATAACACAACTCAAAGTATCATCCTGGGTTTCTATTTTTAGTAAATAAAAAAACGTGTAATTTAATGTATTGCTCAATAGAATAAGCGAAAATAAATCATTTGAATAGTTTGATTGATAAATGATCATTATATTTAGATTAAATTAGTGCAAATTGGACGATGAGAGATATGGGTAATAGTAGTTATGCACAAGCTAAATCAATACAAAAAGGAAGAAGTTAAATGAAAGATGAATAGCTTAAATACTTCTATTAAGGAAAAGTCGCATTTCATATATAAGTGAGATTTTTTTTCAAATAGTATTTTGACTATGTAGGATTGTACTGTATAAACAGAAAAAACGAAATAAAATTTCTTAATTTTTAAACTTATGAACGGATACGTACTGTACATCAATTAGAACCGCATGAAATATAATAAATTAAGAAATAAATGTCTGTTTAAATACTCAATTGTCGTATTTATCTAGAATAAAAAGAAATTAGATGTGCTTACTTTAAATACCTCAATCAATAAATTAGAAATAAGCTGCTTATAAATGATTGTTATTGACTAAAGGTGCTCTCAAACATCTCCTCAATGTAATTTGCTAGTATTATTTAAAGTAATCTTTACGAAAATTTTGCTGAAGACTTTAAACTTTAGCCAATAAACGTAACTCTGATAAAAAAAGATATTTTCTTCATTGCGATGATAAACTCACTTGACCAGCTAAAATATTTTCCATTAATTTAAAATTGAGTTCCGATCTATTAATTTAGTTGCTTGAGAGTACTCTAAGTCTCTGCAAAGTCATTGACAAGGCAGTAAGAGTTATAGGAAATAATCATCTAGATATGTTTGCTAAAAACCGAGCTTCATGTTAGATAATTGGATATCTGTATTCTCGTACTAGACTCCATACCGATTCCTTTTTTCTACTATATAATGATGCTCCTGCTCCTTGAAAAATGACTCTTGTACACGTTTGACGGACAACATTTGCATCTCTTCAATCTTCAGACTCTGTTTTTCGACTATCTCTTGTAATCTACAAAATTTACATATTATTATTTTATAAAGGCTTAAATTCCGGTACTACAGTAGTAGTGGTACAAGTGAAAACAGAAAAGTAAAAAAAAAGTTAGTATTCTATCTGCGACTCAAATATTTTTTATTTCAAATTTATTTTATGCCAGAACAAATACAGAACTTGTTCAAGGCTATACAATTTGATGATATACAAATGGGTAGAGCTTCCTGATTTCATGTTGGTTATCTCTAGATATTTTGAATGGACTTCTTGATGCTAAACCTAGCAAATTTCTTGGCTGTCATAAACTTGACATCTATTTGATAGTCTCTAGATATATTAATGGACTTCTAGATAATTTATTTTTTCCTGTTTATTGATTTAACATACTGTATCTGTATATTATTATACATCTATGGAATTGGATCGACACGAATGAACCGCGTAAATAACCAATGATAAGATACGCGTATGTTCTTAATTTTAGTTATATATCACACTGCACTCAACTTTCTTTATTTTCAATCTGTTGTACATCACTTTCTCGCTTATAATTTATTACAATGTCGATACCATACCCTGTTAAATTCTCAGGTGAAGAATTGGACACAACAACTGCAAAAAATAAATTTACTTTGATGGAATTATGCGCATTAAAAAAAAACTTATTTTTTTCTCTTTTTAACTCAAATAGAAAAAAGGATGGATAAGATCTTATCCGAACTATTAACATTACAAGATATAATACTCGACAATCCTCTATTACTTCACTAGCCGGTGATGACCTTCAAGTCACTCGACAATCAATCTTGATTTTTAAATATATCGTAGAAAAGGCGAAAAGGTTTTATTTAACAGTAAAAAAAGAAATTTAACTAATGCCTACACCGAAAAGTATTCAATTTTAAAGAACGAAGCAAAGGCAGGTTATCTTAATGATATATGTTTTTTTTTGCATTATTACTTAAACGATTAGGATATCTCACTCATAAAGGCTTATTTTTCAATTTTAGTAGCATTTATCATTCTCTGAGATCCAGACTTTAAGCTTTATTTTTCTAATTTAAATATTTCTACTTAAATCCCTTTGGCATTTTTCAAGATCACCTAATTAAGCATATTCAAATACGCATTAATGATGATAATTTCGATAAAGATGACATTCAGGTCTCTTACCCTAACATGGAAATTAAGGAAATTTAATCCTTCCACTTTGCATTAGTAGTAGAGATATTTATATTTTAAATTTAATTCTTCTGAATATCTTTTCGATCTGTTGAAAAATATGGATCGCGTATTTATTATAGAACACACCATTTATTAATGTAAAAATTTCTTCTTGTACATATTCGAATAAAAATACACTAATCTAGATAAAATTTTAGAATTTTAGTACATGTTCAAAAGATAAAGTGACCGTTATTATAGATGATTGTGCTACGCTACATAACGTTAATAGATGAAAAAAATCAAGTAAACCAGGCGAGCTGCTTCACATTCTAATTAAAAGAAAAAAGAGATCAAATGTTTAATCTTATGATTCCCTCCTTGTTTTAAGTCTATGGGCAGTGTTTATGGATAGAAATCATGATTGACATTAGTTAAATTATCAATCATCTAAGACTGTCTATAAGAATGGTCCGTGGACATCATCGACCGATCATCGGCCAAGATCACAATGAGCATATTTCATTGTTCAAAACTAAACTGGCTAATAACGCTACCGTACTACCGTATGCATAACCTGTGATTGATCGATTCTGATTGGCGGGCATGCACAGAGCATCACATTACAGCATTACATAAGCTGTTGCACTCGTACGTACATGCGAATGAACAAGGTTTTAACAAACTTACACGTATCTTGGAAGCAATATGTCAGTAGTTGAAGATGATCGCGTTTACATGGACATTGATGACGAGTGGACGTTACAGGATATCACTCTTCAAATTGCACAATTTCGAAAGGATACTGCGTTGGAAACACAATGTGAGAGTTCCGTAACGGTGTGTATTCAATCAATATGGACAATATATTCGCGACTCGGCAATGAACTCGTTTTGACCACTAATTTATATTAGCCAGACGTTATCACCGCTTGCCTCGCAAAATTGTCAAGTTCACCATATTCGTCCGTGGTCGTTGTGGACACCAATTTCCTAATTTCACACCTTGCTTTTCTCAAAATGCTCATTCTAGAATATGCTAAAAAATATAAATTACTTGTCATTATACCTTGGATTGTCTTAGAAGAGCTTGATGGTTTAAAGAGCAGATCTAATAATTCATATGTTAATTCTTCTAAATCAAATCAACCTGACGTGGCAAATTTGGCTCAAACAGCAATTTCTTTTTTACACAACTGTCTTGCTGAAAAACATGATGGAATACGTGGACAAAAAATACATGAAAAAATTGAAAAACCCAAGGTAGGATCCTAACTCAATATTTAGGTTGATAATGAAAAAGTTAATATTAGAAATTCGTTTTGATGGATTTTTATGTTTGCGATCAAGAATAATGATGATAAAATATTGGATTGTTGTAGGTGAGTTTTCTATATGCATTTTATGACAATCAAATCATTCTATTATATGTATTTATTTATACATTGTATATTAAGGTATTTTCAAACTACAACGCGAAATTCTATAATACTATTATCAAATGATAAGAATTTATGCATTAAAGCAATGGTTCATGGTAATATTATATAATACTGTAATTATAACCTTAACTTTATTTTATATTTAGCTAATGAATTTTCTCTGAAATACCATCCATAGATATACACGCATTTTCATATCAGAAAGCTAGTGGATTAGAGGAATTATTAGAAAAAATTTTGTCTACTGACAATTCATCATCTGACACAGTATCATACAAACAAGTTAATTCAGCGATGCAATGGCCGAAAGTAAATGGATTAGAAACTAATGAACGAGCAAATCATAATGGGCCTAATATAGTTTACAATATTAAAGAAGAGCCTGAATGCTTTATAGAGGTATTCACTCTATAAATTTTAATTCATTAATCAGAAATTTACAAGAATTTCTTACGTTTATTGCGTTATAGGACACAGATACAATTATGATGGACTGCGATGATACAATGCAAAAGACGCCATTTTCTCAGAATGTAATACCAGAGCCTTCTGAAACATTAGTGAACTCGCAGATTTCGCAACCATATTATTCTAGATCATCATTATCTTTACGTGAAAATCAATTCAATCCATCATATTTGTCGTTACATGATTCAATTCATGCGCCAGATAATAGAGACAAAAAATTGGATGGGAATAATCAAAAGAATAATAATACAATGACGAGAAAAATAATGCCATCTACGGATTATTCAAATCCTAAAAAATTCTTGATGAATTATGATGATACGAAACAGATATCATCGCATCCTGTACAGATATCTTATCCTTTTTCTACGCAAAATGAATTTAACCACAATTCATCATCATCGTCATCATCATCATCGCTATATACATCTATTCATGCACCAGGGAATCTGGATGTGTTTAACAATCATACAATATCAAGTGCAACAAGTCAGGCTAATAACAAAATTAACCGAGAAGCAGAAGTAATATCAATGATGCTATTTACAACACCAACAATTTCTAAAAACTTGTTGGATAAAACTATTGAAACTTCTCATAAATATCTTGTGAACAAAATCATGGTAAATCTTAGCAACACACTTCCACCTGCAATTTTATTTCATTTTCAAAAATGTTTTGGGAAAGATTGGAATTATATCATACAAGAACCACAGCCCTGGTCTTTGAACACAATGATAAAATTCATAGACCGTTACTGGATGACAGTTTTTTCTGATGTATTTCATCAATCTCGCAAGATCAAAGAAGTCATCATTTCCAACGTTTTAGATTTTCTGCGTGTTTATCAACGTTCAGGTGCTTCTAGCTTTACCATACAGGATGTGATGCAATTCATACAAAATTCCGAATTAATTTTGAAGATGGTTTATGATGATATTGAAGAAACGATTGAATCAATCTCTGAACGAGAACAGCTTGTTAAGAATTGGTGGAGTGAATTTGAGCATTCTTTCCGATTTGACATGACTGGAACGTAGTCGTTTATATATAAATATAATGGTAGTTACTTTTTTGCCTATACTTTCATCGGTTTATTTTGCCATTAAATGATCGTAATTTTAAATCTTCAAATAAATTGGGAGAAATTTATCATGAAATTTTGGATACATGTAAACGAATTAAAATTTATGTCTACTGTATCTATTGATGTGCAGTTTTGGGTTTGCAGGATTTGCAAAAATTGGTCTGTAATTGCTAAACCAATGAAATATTTGAATAAAATTATGATTATCTCTGCATTCATCAAAGAAAATTTTTGAAGACTAATTAAAGTTAATTACAAGCTGTAAATTTTCTCATCTTGTTAACTTATAGAAAGCTATCTCCAAAAAAAACAAATATATGTAAAATTATTTTTTAATCTTTTAGGCGTTTCTAAGTAAAAATTCGAATTCATTCCAAATTTATCCCATGCACAGCACTGCCATTATTTCCACATAATTGGCGATCCGGGCCGTGCCCAGTCCCAATATAATAACACCACCCGACCCCACAAATTTAGTGCAGACTAAAATGAAATTGAGGTTTCTATTTAACCCCTAAAATTCACTCCGTAACCCTAAAAAGCGCATCATAAAAATTTACATTGTTTTTATCTATTTTTGAACTTATTTTGTTTTAATGACACATTTGAAGTACGCTCAAATTTTGATTTGATTTTTGAGAGGCACTAGTTTGGAACGGGCAAGGATAAATTCAAATGACAAAAAAAGAAAAGGAATCTTATATAACGTAGTCACCTTTTTCTGCAACATAAATAATACGTAACTTATATATAACAAAATAATTTTAATTAATTTTTTAGAGTAATTAATATACAATTATTAAATTGATACGTATATATTTTTTTTTAAAGATTTATGATATAGTATCATAATCGAAAGAACTGATATTAGGGATGTGGTAAGAATTTTTAATGGCTTATGCCAGCCATAAAAGTTCTTTAATTGATACGTGTATACAGTATATGATCAAGCTAAGCTGTAGTTTAAGAACATATTGTTAAGGAAAACAAATTCAGTTGCATAATTTTATTTTTTTTTCACCGACCAATTTAGTCAAAAAATTCTAGAGTCTAGGCATTTTATACTCTATTATTGCCTAATACACGGTCAACTATAAGAAAGTAGCTTCAAAACAAACATCATTATTTAATATGAACTTTATTCCTTAAACCAATGACATTTTAGTCCAGTTATATCAAAAATATGTAAAATTAACTCGGCCTACCCTTTTCGGGCAAATTTACACGCAAATTGTCATGATAATTTGTGATTTAATCTATCGAACTATATAAAATTGTAGTCTATATCGATATTACATAATATTTCAAACTTTACGATGACAGTAGGAGTTTATTAAATGTTTGGTTTATCGAGATTCCAGGAATCGGTTTAGAGGAAGTTGACTGTACATAAATGACGTAGATCATTTTAATTTGCCAATCAAAAATTTACCAAATTGTAACTGGTATTTAATGTTCGTTTATTATTACAGTATTACAATTTACAATTAATCGTTATCGTTATCGTTATTACAATATAAATCGTAATTGTTTTTAAAAAAAATTTAATCGATTAATTGATCAATCAATAAAAAAAATACCACTTCAACTGATATCACTAGTTTCAGCTTCCAGTTAACAAACACTGTTTATATTTATCAATCGAAATGAGGGAGATACCTCCAATTGCCATTGCTTTTGGAGATTATTCCACTTGCAACTTGTCAGATCCAGAATGCACACGTATCTCTAACATGCTTGAAAATCAAGCTTCGTCTCAATATCCAGACGTAGCACTACAACAACAACTGAACGCTGTCCGTGGCTTACTAAATCAGGTTGATGTGAGTTATGTGTAAGTATGAGTGTTTTTGCTATTCAATTCATATCATTTTTTTTTTTATTCAACTCTGGATTCTCGACGTCTTTTAATTATGTAAACACTTTTAAACCTATTGGAACCAAAGAAAAGTAAAATAAAATAAAATAAAATAAAAATAAACAAAAAAATAAACAAAAAACAATTAAAAAAAAGAATTATTTAATTCTAAATCGATTCAATTTATATGACATTAGGAGATTTAAAAACCCATCAGCAGCATCTTCGCAACCATCATTCGAATATGCATTCACTCCACAACCATCGATTCCACAAAAAAGATCATTTAAGCAAGTTATGGAAATAACACCTCAAGATGCAAGAGAAAATGCATCAATGCATGCCGAATTTCATCAAAATACCTATCAAGCATCAACCTTGGGCCCTCAATTACAATCAGATAGATTTCAGGGTTCTGTATCGGAATCCCTTATTAATAACAGCATACCTCAAACTGCATATATTCAAGACGCATATAAAAAACCATGCATTTTATCCAATTCAGATAGTTCTTTTAATATGAAATGTGATTATACAAAAGAACAGCAGAATGAATCCCAACAAATTATTTATAACAATTCTGAACCACTCTTTATAAGTGATAATCAGGCACTTCATAGAAGCTCCCCAACAGTCTTTACCGAGATTCCAGCACTCGTTGAACACCATCAATATACAACTGTTTCTCCAGCTGGAAATACATATCAAATTTCTCAAAATTCTTCAAATATGCATCCTCCATCTCCGAAAGTAATCGTAGAAAGCACTTTACCTATTATGAAATCAAATTTAAATCCACACATTGAACATTCCAGCATTGCTCCATCTCAACTTTTAATTAATAGACCTCCATCACCAAAAGTCGTCATTTATAACGAAACAACCCCTGAAATTGATGATAATCCTGAAATTGATGATAATCCTAAAAGAAAAAACCCTAAAATTTCTTCTATATCAATGCAAAATGATTATCGACCTGCATCACCAGAAGTTGTCATAGAAGTTCCACCTCGTGATATATTAGCTGAATATCGTTCTTATGAGAAAAAGAAGCAAAAGGAAAAGGATAGAAATAGGGAAAAAGAAAAAAGTAGAGAAAAGGAGAGAAGTAGGGATGAAGAAAGAAATGGCGAGAGTAAGCTAAAATTTTTATGTGCAATTACTTTTCTTATTTCTATATTTCACTCAACTTGACTTTTTTTTTTTTTTCATTGATCTAGATTCGTTGAACAAGTTTATTAGTTACATAAGTGCAATATTTGATGCAGAGGACGCAGTAACTTCTGAATTACCTTTATCAAATGATCAATTATCACTTTTAACTCCATCGAGCATAAGCTCAAATGAGCCCTTACTTACTTCAGAAGTTATTCATCAGATTATAAGGCTTGTAAATAAAGTGTGCCGTTTTAATCGGTTAGAAGATGCTGATGTTGATGACTTGGGACGTCTGTTGAAAATTTTAGAAAGATCTGTTCGAGAAGTCGAAACTCTGGATCTATTTCCACGGGATTCTGTTACATCAAGTGGTATTGGTAGATCAAAAAATAAAGTTTCGGATTCAATGAGTTCAATGAGTTTAGATGAGGATTCTATGGATGAGGATGATAAATGTGTTGACTCGCGATTACAAAAATTTGAAGAAAAGCTTAATAAAATAATCAACGGAATTGAAGCAGCTACCGCTGCATTTACGATTATGACTGGTGGTAATTTGAGTAAGCAGGTATGTTATTTTGATCTTCCATGACTTGTTTTTATCACATTTTTTTTTAATTATGTTTGTGCTTATGTGTTTTCTAAAGCTCTATCCGGAAGATTTAATTACGTCGAGTCTTAATCTTGTAAAAAATCAACTTGTGGGAGTGATTTATCGTATATTTGAAATGAATTTATCAGAAGACGCATTAAACAGTATGTGTTAAAGATATTAAACTTAGAATTAAGAAAATCTTCGCCCGGATATTATTATGTTATCCGCTAAAATATTATATAACGATGTCTATCCGGGCCCAATTCCTAGTTAAACAACATAATTTGCCTTTATTAATTATATTATTCCATTCAATAGGTGATGGAGATTCTACCTTAGTTGAAATGCTTGAACAATATCCTTTTAATATTTATCATCTATTCAAGAATTTTTTTCTCGGATCAATAAAATTTCTTAACTTGTAGTTTTCATCTTCTCACTTCTCATTTAAAGCGCCAGACAGCGGGCATGCTTCCGATTATTACAAATTATTTACGGAAATTATATGATTTGATGCAGAAAGAAGAACTTTCTGACTCTATTGTTATTACAGTTAGTTATATTGCTATTGGACCCTTTTTTGTAGACTCTGTAAACAGCAGTAATTCTATATTTGGTAATGGTTTGGAGGCAGTAAAATTGGTTGCACTTGGATTACTGAGATCTGTGAGTAATGCTTCATAAAATTTTATAAATTATTTCATTTATAATATTATTTCATTTATAACATTATATTAATAATAAAACCATTCATTAATAGATATTCACAAATTATCAAAAACAACGCACATGGATATTGGAAGAAATTCTTACGTCTCTCATTAAATTACCTACTACAAAAAGAAATTTGAGACAATACAGGTAGCATTAGTTGTTAATTGATTCTCATAATCCGTTCGAGTCGGTTTTACATCTTTGAGAAAATATTTTAAATTATTTATTATAAAACTTTGGGCAAACTTCAAGAAAAAATTTATTATATATTATGAGAATCAATTAATTTTTAATTATTATTATATTATTATATTATTTATTTACATATGAATTTGTTTTGCAATACTTATAGATTACCTGATGGTAAATCAATCCAAATGGTATCTGCGCTTATTTTACAACTTATACAAAGTTGTACAGTAGGCATAACTCACTTTGGTCTAAAGTCTGTTGATGATCAGCAAAGTGAACAGCTTGTTGAAAGTTTAACTAATGGTACTCCAAATGATGTAAAAGAGGTATCCTGTGTTAAATATTTAATGGTTTACACAATATGTATTATAGTTTCACATAAATTAATAATTTATTAACAGTGCAGTAACGCGTGGAAAATGGGAATAGATTCTGCTAGCAGCAATGCTGGCTATGTTTTCAAATTCTTGCTTTCAAGGTACCTATCTAGTTTAACATTTGATCAATACGTGTGAATTCGATCCATATAATTAATACTTCAAATACTTCAAACATTAGGTACACGAAATCTATCAAAAATTCAAATGAGTCAGAGTATCATATTCTTTTAGATAATTTCATGGAGGATGTAATCACTGTATTGAATTACCCTGAGTGGCCGGCTGCTGAAATGATAGTTCGAATATTTAGCAAAATCATGGTATTTTACCTTGTCTAGTTGTCGACTGATTAATCGAGTAATTTTAACCAAGTATTCAAGTAATTATTCTTTATACCTATTATATAAACTCTAGATTGGTTATATAAATGATAGAAAAGCAGATAATTATACAAAATCAATGGCTATTGACTATTTAGGAATCATAGCTGGACGTATCAAAAAATTTGCAAACACAGGCCTCATCTCTGGTGAAGGTGTATCAGAAGAGAATGGGGAAGAGAATGATGATAATGATGATCAGAATTGGATTGACAAAATTAAAGATATACCGAAAGGAGATGTAAATATTATCAATCAATTTTAATTATATTGAAATTATTATACTTTTAATCTAATTATTTTATTTATAGATAACGAACCTAACCACTACACGGGCAATTAAAAATTTGTACAAATGTCAAAAGGCTATATTAATGTTTCTAGAATTTGGTGCATTGGAAGATCCTGGTGTACAGGCATGCATTTAAAATCCAGACATTAATCTACACATATTTTTTTACTCATAATTACATTAAATTATTTATTTAGTGTGCTCGCCAGTTCTATTTAGCTGAGTGGGGATATTCTCTCTCAAACACCTTACTTTCATTTAACGACAAACAGTCAAATTTAATACTGGAAGATAAAGACAAGGCCTCACTCATTTCAATAACAAGGTTGATTAATAAGATTGTTGCTGGATATTGGAAAATGTCATCTGAAGATCAGATTGTACAAAGTCTTGAGCATAGGTTAATTTTATGAGTATAAAAATATATCTAAATTGTATAGGGAATTATAAATATTTACAATTAAACCTTTTTTCCTATAATAGGACACAGGAAGTAGAACGATCTGATGCTCATCTCATAACTGAGCTTCTGGCAACTAGACAAGCTCTTTATCAAAACTTTGATTCAATCCTTTCGAGGATATTAATATCATTGGATACAGGTGTTGTTGCCTTTAGGACAAAAGCTTTGAGAGCCTTAGGACAAGTAGTTGTATGTGATCCAAGTATTCTAAGCCAAGTAAGTATTAATTGTTTTTAGAATTTGTTTACTTTATCCTGGATATTGTTTAATATATATATAATCAAATTTTTAGGTGAATGTTCGCCAAACAATTGCTCAAAGATTTTCCGACAATTCGCCGGCCGTTCGAGATGCAGCCATTGAACTTGTTGGACGTTATCTCGCACAAAAGCCAGAAATCACAGAACAATATTATAAAGTCATAAGTGATCGCGTATTGGTTAGTCAAATACTATACTTTGACCTTATAATTATTTTCTTCAATCAACACTTATTTGATATATTTTAGGATACTGGTCTTAATGTACGAAAACGTGTAATAAAATTACTTAGAGATATTTATCTCAAAAGCTCCGATCAGGAGATGAAGATTGACATCGGCTGCAAAATTCTTATTCGTATTAATGATGACGATGATCACGTCAAGGTAATGATGCAAACTAAAGATATTTTGGTTTGTTTTTGATATTGATCACCTTCCACATTGTACTTACGGTTTGCAAAAAAAATTTTTAAGGATTTAGCTCTCAAAACTATTCAAGAATTATGGTTTTCTCCATTTAAACATCAAAAGAATTTTTCTTTCGAGATGAATGATATTGAAGATGACGATAAATGGCAAAATGAATTCAATAACATGCCTACTAGTGGTAAAAAAGATGTTTTAGGAAGAAGCTTATTAATAGTAGGGGTTGCGGGACGACTTGGTGAAAGGAATGGACATATCATGGGTGGACTGTTCAAAAAGGTTTATAATGAATATTTTGATTTTTTTTTTCAATAATATTATATTTCTTTGAAATATGCCTTAAATTTATATTTACATTAATATTAAATTGAATATAGATCTTGGACAAAGATGGAAAACAGAAACGCGAAGTTCTGAGCATCTGTCAATGTGTAGTGGATTGTCTCTTTGAGCATTTGCTAACATTGCAAGATTCTAATTCAAAGGTATTAATAATTTTATCTGATTATTTATATAATAATATAAATCTAAATTTACATTACATATTACATGATTATTTATATTAGACTGAAGTTGTTAGTTGTATCAGCACAATATGTTTATTGAGTAACGCATCACCCCTACTCGTTAGAAAGCATGTTACTACATTGCAGCCATACCTAAAAAGCTCTAGTACGGTAAGAATATTGAAAATGTTGACATATATATTTATAAAAGCTTAATTAATTTTTGGTAACTTGAAAATATCTATGATTTAGTCGGAAGATCAATCTATATTGTACTATGTTTTGATCATATATCGTAATGTTCTCCCACTTCTCAAACGACCAAACCCTAATTTCCTGGCTGAAGTAGAACAGACACTCATGAGTCTATTAACTAAAAGTCCTCAAAAGGTATGTCAATATTTATTCAATTTTTGCTTTAGAAGACGTTATTTGTTTATTGTGAGTATATTTAATTTACAGATTCTTCAAGAAGTTATACCATGCCTTTGTGTTATTGTTGATAAATTGACACATAACTATACAAGGTTGACAAAACTTTTACGGTCTTGTACTGGTTTGTAAAGAATTCAAAGAGAAAATTCTAGCTTAATTTTTTCATGTTATTTTCTAATCAATCCTTTTTTTACAGAAAAACTTAAACTAGAACAAAGGCAATTAGAAGCAGGAAAAGAACTATCTTCTGCGCGTAATGTTATGGTACTTCTATTAATCGTTGGTTTGTTATGTAAAAATTTTGATTTTGACAAGAAGCGAGTAGAGAAGTCAGGTAAATTCTTATTATATTTGCACGATTTTGTACACTGAACGTATACATTAATTTGTATGTAAATTATTTATGATATAGACGAGATGAAAGAATTAGATACCATCGATAAGGTTAGAATTGTAGAGTCTGTCATTTAAAGTCTGTTACCATATTACTAATGCAAAGTATGACATTAAATTGGATTTACTATAGGGGCCTATTGTCGCAATTATATTTCAATTAGTACTATATTTCTGCAAAAAAGATTTATCAGAAACTGTTCAAAAAATGGCATTACAAAGCTTAGGTAATGCATAAAATTTTTATATTCCTTTTTCCTGGGTTGGTTTAGATTATAATCTTTATTTGTATATTTTGTAGGCTTTATATATCTTTCGTATCCAATAATAATGCTAAGGCCAGAAAGCACTGATTTAATGGATCGTATATTAAATAATGGTGTGATGGATATGAAAATTCAATTGATGAAAGTATTTTTAGATTTTTTAGTTTCTGAACAACAAAAAATTAACATGGATTTGGAAGACAAAAGTATGTACTTGAAGCCACTTTGATTCTTCTTAACCATCTTTTAATTATATATATATTTGTTTGTAGAAAAGAAGAAAAACAACCCCGTAGATCTTAAAGTCCTAATAGGTAATGCTGATGAATTCGCAGAAGCTGGGTAAGTCATTAATTAATAGCTTTACCTTTGAAAATTCATAAGCAACAAGCTAGGATAATAATATTAAATATTTCCAAAATATAATATATAATAGCGTTAGCAGCTCTTTGATGCAAAGATACCTGGATCGAATATTAGAATGTACCTTTGATAATACACAAAGCTTAAAAATTGTCGCACTGGATGTCTTAGGAAATATTATTCAACAAGGGTTGGCACATCCTGTGCTGGTAAGTAATTATTTTTATAAAGAAATCGTGTTATTTAGCATGTCTAACGAGTCCAAATAAAATTATGGTTTGACTTCTATAGTGTATACCAACTATTGTTGCGATGGAAACAAGTCCGGATCAAAACATTCGCGATAAATCGTTCAAACTACATCAACATCTGAATGAAAAACATGCTTCTTTAATACATTCCAGAAATGTAGATTGTGTTAAAAAAGCATATGCATTTCAAAAACAATTGATTGGTGAAAATCCAATAGTTGGTATGTCTTGAGTGTTTTTAATATTCAGCATTTGATATAGATATGATCTCATAAATTCAACTTTCTACGTCAAAAGGGTATGCTACACGCTCCCACGAAGGACGGCCTGAGGCCTTACTTAACCCGATGTATTCTCTTCTAAAAGATAAACGGAAGTCACGTAACGATTTTCTTGTCTCTGTTGTTAAAACTTTTGACTTTGACTTGAAAAAATGTGATGAATCAAAGGTATAATATTAAATTTTTGTGATAACATTTACGTACGCATAAATTAATATTAATTTAAAAAATTAGGTGGACGTTGGCTTTTGCAAATTCGTTGCAGAAAATCTAGCCACTATTGATTACAAATCAATCGAAGAAGTTCTTCACGTGATTTACTTGATCAATCGTGTTTTGTCGGTTGTTGCAATCAGTGTATTACATTCCGTCCAAACCAACTTTCAAGAGATTGTAGATAATGTCCGTGTATATATTGAAAATAAAATACCTGAAAATTTTATTGAAGAAACCATTTCGCAAACTAATGAAAAACTCGACGAGGTCATTGGTACAATGGAGATGTCATCTATTGAAGATTCTTCAAGTCCAATGGTCATTGAAAATGAGACTCAACAAAGTGATTCAATGGAAATACAATTTAGAGACGATAAGTCTGCACAAGATAATCAATCCAATGAGAAAGGTGAGTAATGAATAATGGATAGCTTTGCTTTTACTTTCAATAAATGAAAAGTATTATATTAATTTAAATTGGTATACGAAGAAAATGTTCTACCGCTTTCGTATGCTGCTAAAGTCTCCGTTTGTATGGCTATTCTCATGTATTTGAAGGAACATTTAAAGAAATCATTTGCATTAAGTGAGGCGTGAGTACATAAGATAATTGTACATAATTAGCATCACTCTGAAAGCATTATTTAAATAAATTTTATATACTTGTAGAAAATGTCAAAATTTTAACCCAACACAACATGGTGGAACAAACAAGGATAAACCCGCATTACGGCATCAAAATGCACCATTAGTTATATCATGGGATGGACTACCTTTCGTGGATAAACCGTTAGAGTTGGAAGATGATATCTGGAAACAATGTGAAATGGTAGCATGCATAATCATTGCTATTTATTTATTCTTTATTGATATTAAAAATTGCTTCTCTTTATTTTTAGTTTAAAAAACTTATGGCTGAAGATGGTACTAAAGATTCAGATGACTTCTGCTAGCGTTTTTTTTTCTTTTTTTTTTTTTTTGGCCTTACAGGCAATTTGATTTGGGAACCTCAGACATACATACTTTAATTTAAATAAACATTAATTGTTGCATATTTTCAAGTGAAACTATTAGTTTAGTTTTTTTTTTTGTATATTGTATTTTTATTGTATTGTTTATATTGTGGTTTATTGCATGTATAAACTTTGGCCTTATGCATTTTCCAAGGAGGCATCAAAAGTACTAGACGTTTTACTACAAAGCTTTTATTTGCAATTTATTTTAATATATATACCGTTTAATGAAATAAACTTTCTTTAGCATTTATTATTTATTTAATAAAAATTAATTCTTATTTCGAAGTTATATATATATTATTATTCCCACAATTATACAATGAACGTAGTATATTAAATATCAAATACGTAAAAATAATTATTAACTGATAACTGATAATTTGGTGTTTACGCGTAGATTTACGTGTAAATATTTGAACTGATTTCTTGAAGACACTCCTTCCCTTTCAAACGTACAGTATTTTCCTTTTA